GTCGAATGGTTATATCAGATTGAGTTGATTGGCATCGATTTGACCAAATTAAAGCTGATTTATGATGGAATTTATATTCTGAATTGATGTCAAATGGTTATATCGGATTGAGTAAATTAGCTTATATTTAGCCAAATTGAAGCTGATTTATGATAGAATTTATATTCCGAATTGATGCCGAATGGTTTTATCGATTGGCGTCGATTTGTATTATCTTTTTAGGTCGATCAGTGTAGATTGTACCGATCAGAAAATAACAAACCTGCCAAAAATAATACCAAAATCAGCCTAAATTCAGCCATCCGATTTATAGCCAATTTAGACTATTTGACCAGTGAGTAGAATGTGAGAAAAAACAAAAAATTAAAATTTAACTTTATAAGTCAAATGTAATTAAATAAGTTTAGATTTAACATTATTTTAAAAAATCTTTTTTTAAAATTTCTTTTTTTTTATTACAAAGCTTCTATATGTTTAATATTTGATTGATAAATATTATTTAATTTAAATTTCTAATTAGTATTAATTCACTAATAAATTTCATTAACAATTCTTAGTAAAATTCATAAAAATTAACAAAATTATTAATTATTAAATTTTTTTAATAATTATTATATTAAATTAAATTTTTATTAACAATAAATACATTTTCATTAAATAGTTAACGAATTTTTATTTAAAAATTGACATATTTTGAAAAATTCTTAAATTCATTAACAATTTATTAATGAATTTCGTTAATGATTTAACATGTTTCAATCCATTTATTAATGAATTTTCATTAACAATTGACAAATTTATATTAATTCATAAAAATTCACTAACAATTAACATATTTTTGTTAATTTATTAATAATTAATATATTTTCATCAAATCATTAATGAATTTTTAATAATTATTAATACATTTTCATTTATTTATTAATAAATTTTTCATTAATGATATGATATATTTTTATTAATTTATTAACGAATTTTTGATAATCATTGACATAGGGGGAAAAGACAAAAGTATTGTATACTTTTATTTTTTCAATAATTTTTATTTTTTACAGAAATATACAATTTTTTTTATTTTTCGAAAACTGACATTAATATTTAGTATATTCTTTATTAACGATGTTAAGCTTAAACCATTTAGCATTAAGTTAATAAAGATTATTTGCTAGAAAAGGAAAACAATACAAATAAAAAATAGTCTTATAAATATTTCCATTTTGAACTTTTATTTTTCTCTCAATTTTCTCAAATATAAAATCAAAAAAATCGTCTTAATAAATTACTATATTTCGAACTTTGATTTTCTTAATTTTCTCAAATATAAAATCAAATAATAAGTAGAAAAAGGTCAATTTTTAGCATACTTGATGATGATTATGAGGAATCGTCATCAAGTGAAACTTCTAATATATCTTCTCATAGAAGAAGAAATAGATCAATTGCTAGTTTAATTGATGAAAAATCTATCTCTACTTCAAGGCCATTAACATCTCATAATACAAGAAGTAGATTTCAAGATTTACAAAATTCTATTTCAGATACATTTCATCAATTTGAAATTCAAGAAGAAACAGGAGAACCATCAACATCAACTTCCGCTAGGCAGAACATTGAACATGAATCTGATGATAAATATCAAGAGGATTTTGATTCTACTTTCTTACCTTAAAGACGTGTAAGAAAGTATACAAATCATCCCAAATCTGGTATATATTCTTCTGATGATTCTGAAATCGAAACTAATCAACCTTCAGAATCTTCTGAATTTACTACTAAAGAAGATGAAGTTACAAGTGAATCCGATGATAGTGAATCTGATGATAATGGTGATTTTGAAATATTTGAGGATTATGCACCACTGGATTATGAGCTATTTCAAGAACCACTAAGTATAGAATCAATTGATGATGACTGATTTTTATGGATATTAATTTGGATCATGTCATTTCGGACAAGATTCAACATTACAGAGTCTGCAACTGAAGCTTTGATAAAATTTATGAAATTGGTTTTGACAGAAATCGAAGGTGACTATTCAAAGACTTTCCAAATTCAATGTTCTTAACAAAGAAGACGCTTGGAATAAAAGACAGATTTCAACATTTTGTTCCTTACTCCAAATATCATAAACTGTACCAAAAACAGGAAGTGGTAAATTTTAGACAAGATAATATGTTAACAATAATAAAATGTTGACATGTAGAATTTCCCAATTCGTCAATTTGCAAATCGCGCTTTTACAATATACCATTATCTCAAAAAATTGCTGTATTGACAAATCGAACAGTAATTCGACCTAATTTAATCTTTCCTTTTTGTGGAATATGACAACAACTCACTTCTATACATCGTCAGCCTCATTTTAAAATTAATTTGAGACATTGAGTGAATCGTCAGCATTTTGACAACATTATAACTGATATATATGATGGTCAAGTATGGCAGATGTTAAAAGAATCTTCTGAGGACAATTCACCAAAATTTTTTCAAGATGAAGTAGCCGATTCTCACCTTGGATTAATGCTAAATCTTGACTGGTTCTAACCATATGATGGTACTGTTTATAGCATTGGAGTAATATATGCTACTATATGCAATTTGCCACATGATATATGATTCAAACGTAAAAATTTACTGACTCTCAGTCTTTTATCTGGGCTAAGCGAAGTCAGTTTACATAAAATTAATCACTATCTAGCACCAATCGTTGATGAATTGGAATCTCTTTGTGATGGAATAACAATAAATCAAACAAATGAATGTAAAAATGGTAAAAGGATTCATGTAGCATTAATACTAGTTTCATGTGATATTCCTGCGGCAAGAAAAATTTGTGGTCATATTTCAGCATTAGTGGCATGTCATAGATGTAAAAAGAAGGCGAATTATGAAAATCAGTAGCATAATTTTGCCAGAATGGATAATTTCGATGATTGGTTTTTTATGCGAGATCCAATTGAACATCGCCAGAATGCTTTAGAATGGAGATATTGCAATTCAGACGCTTTATGAAAGTGATTTGTAAAACAAAATGGTGTAAAATAGTCCGAATTATTACGTTTACCATATTTTGATCCTATAAAATTTATTACAATCAATCCAATGTATTGCTTATTTTTAGGTATTACACGATAGATAGTAAAATGGATCTGGATCGATAAAGGGATTTTAACATCAAATTCCTTGAACAAGTTTCAGAAAAAAATGAATGAGTTTCAGATTTCATCCGATTTAGGTCGAATTCCGGATAAAATTCATGAAGGAGAGGGATTTTCTAATTACACAGCCGATCAGTGGTGAATTCTCTTTACTGTATATGCTACTATTTCACTTTGGAAACATCTTCCAATTGTAGATAGAAAAATTCTTACAAATTTCGTGAGAATTTGTATAATTTTGGTAAACTGGATTGTGAAATCAGATATATTGCACGAAGCTCATAGAAGATTAATTAGAATAATAAAGTTGATAGAAGAAAATCATGGTTGTAACAAAATCACGCTGAATCTCCACCTTTCTCTCCATTTAAATAAATGCTCAATAGATTATAGGCTGTTATATGCATTCTGGTGTTTTTCTTTTGAATGTATGAATGGAATATTAGATAACTCATTATTATTATCTAATAAATCATTATATATCTAATAACTTAATATTTTTTTATGATTTTTAGATTTTTTGCCAAATAGTAATAGAAAAATCAAACCTGAGCTAATGCATCGATTAATGTTTGATAGTTAAATTGATAGTATTATAAGTTTTGGTAGCATTGAAGTAAAAGGGCTTGAATTGTTAGAAAACCATCCTTCTATAGGTTCTCTATCGGATATGGACCAATTTTCTACTGATGAAATCCACTGATTTTGGATGAATTCACAAAACATTAGGAAATCGAATGTTTCTGGTAGTGAAATATTTCCCGGTGAATTCCTTAAACCATCATCTAATAATATAATTTTTTTAAGTGAAATGCTTGATTTGATGGTTGTTTAACATGGTGACTTATAGCATGTTAGAATTTCAGAAGCCATTCGATGAGGATTCAGAAAATGCTATAACAATTCAGGTCAAAATAAACCAATTCGGAAGGTGCTAAATTAGTTCTGAAATCTTTGGTTCATCAATATCATTGCGACATGTGAAAAGTTCATACATTTTGACCAAATTTATTACAAATGACAGCACAGTCGATTGTTACCCAGGTCAAGTTTAATACTATTTTACTCATATAATCGATTTGCCGTCTAGATCAGCTGAACATTTTCTAGCATACATTCGCTGGTATAAACCTGCAGGTTCTCCAAATATTCGATACTATTTCCGCAATGATGAAGAAACATGTAATGTCGAATTATAGGATACCGATTTTTACATAGAAAGTCGTGATTGTATTATACTGGTTCATCATATTTTGGGTCAATTTGTGCCAGTAAACTATCAAATTTCAACCCAATGAAATGCAAAAGAATATTTGGCCATTAATCCCATTAATAGAAAATACCATCTATAAATGCAATTTTATTTGAATTTTATTTTTTCATTGATAAAATTAGTAATATTCAAATTTATCAAATAAATCTGATTATTCCAATCTACTATAAATAAAATATATTGAAGTTTGGCCAATTCGTATTCCAATCAGTTATAAATCGGATGGTTGAATTTTGACTGATTTTTAATGTATTTCGATTGACATAGGTTGAATTTTGGCTGATTTTGATATATATCAATCAGCTAGAAATCAGACAAGCAAATTTTGGTCGATTCTTAATATATACCAAATCGGCTATAAATCGAATAGCTTGATTTTGGCTGATTTTTGATGATATCTGATTTTAGACTGATTTTAGGCTGATTTATAACATGGCTGATTTTTTTGATTTCGACCTGTGTAATATCTAAAAAAATTTTTTATTTTTATTTTTTTTTTCTTATTATAAAAAAAATTTTTTTTGATTGGATGAGATCAAAAAAAAAAATTTTTTTAAATAAATAAAATAAATAAATAAATATTTTTATTTTTTAATAACGATTAATATTGTTTTTCAAATTTATTTTACATCTTATAAAATTATCAATATCAATAAAATAAATTTTACATTTTCTTTCTATCTAAAATATATTTGTTATTATCTATGTTAAAAATCGTATGCATCTATCAATTCTAATGACTTTAATAAATTGATAACTACTAAAATATGTAAAATATACAATGAGACCTCTCTAATACATCCCCTTAGTACCATAATGAAAATTTTAAAAAATGTGCATTTAAGAAGAATGTGCATTTAAAGAGAGAAATTTTGTATGATCTTTATATGCTTAGGCTATGTGGAATGTGCATTTATAAAAAAATATATATGTGTGCATTTAGGTATGTCAATCACAAATTAGAAGATCTGCATAATTCTGAATCTATAGATTCTTAGGATTCACCTGATAAGCCTTATAAGCTGAATAATTATTATAATGCTTATTTTCATTATTTTAATTATTTTATTATTATTATTATAGTTATTATCTTTGTTATTATTATTATTATTATATTAGTACTTGTAACTACAAATTTAATTAGTTTATAGCATAACAACTAGTTAGCCGTAACAAATTAATTTTGTATAAATAGAATAGCTTTTTGCTCAAATTGAATTAACTCTCTTGTAAGTTCTTAAATACTTGTGAGTTTCAAGTAATAAATAAAGGAATCAACTTTAAAAAATAATTACTTTTTTCTTCTACATGTTCATCATCTAGGATTTGATCGTAAACTACTACACTAACTTGCTTTTGAGTTTGTCACTTAAAATAAATAAATTCTTTATATTTTTTCTAAGTTTCTAAACCTTTAAGTTCGTAAAGTCAAGCAAAGTAATTCTAAGGCATTTCAGATACCTGTAGGACGTGAAATTTTCTAAGGATGTAAAGTCCAACAATAAGGAATTTACTTGCTACAGTAAAGTAACTTAGCAAAACATGTACGATATAAAGAGAATTATTTCCAGTGATAATGTGCAATATAATATTCTACTTCACTATATATTTTCTTAATTTCAAGTATTTGAGAAGCATTACAAGCATTACGATGATAACCATTTTTATTAGTAATAATATTAATCTAAAATAAAAATAAATGTTATTAATTAAAGTTATAATGATAATTATAAATATATAGTTATAATACTTACTAATATATAATAATTATTTCTACTCTTTATTTTATCTTTTAATATCATTTTAGAAGTTATAATATGTTTATCATTAGTGCGTAGTTTATCAAATTTCATTATAATTGATGATAAATTCTGAATTTAGAAAATTAAAAGTTAAAAATTATTTTTAATTATAAGTTTTAATAAAATTAGTTTTTTTATAACAAACCTCAATTGTTATGCTATTTATATCAAAATAGCAGTGTAGATTTTTTAATTCCACATTTGACAAATTATATTTTTTAGATAGAGAGTAAAGTTCATATTCCTTATATAAAGAAGAACTGAAAACTCTATGAGAAGGGTATTCCTTTTTTTCCTCTTCTTTTTGAAATATCTCCTTATGATCTTCATTAAATTTTAAATGATTAAATCTTTCATTTAAAATTATATTATTTCAAAGGCTTACATATGGATGAATTTGTAATTTTACTAATAAATTAATATCCTACATATTTTTTCTATTGGAAATTGCTAATACCTTCTATATAGACCAAAATCTTTAATACTTTCAGCTACATATAATAAATAGTGAAAGATATTAAAAAGATATTTGATTGATTTTTATCATTTATGCTTGCATAATCTCTATAAAAAAAATAAATATATTATAAATAAAAGTAATTTATCAATTATATAGTGAATACAATATTTATTTATTTACTTTGATATATACTTATAAAAATTTTTTAATTTTTTCTAATTA